TTGTGCAGCCATGAGTCTCTCTCCCTGGAAACCCTACCAGGATGCTTTCCTGGCTGGCACACACGTACATGCCTCACGTGGCACGGGGACACCGTGCCATAGCTTGGTCACCAGAGCCATGGCTACCAACTGCTCTGCACCTGGCCCGCAGGAGTCTCTGCGCTGGGAGCAGGTCTGGTACCTGGACACAGGCTGAGCACCCTGCAGGAAGCTGTGATAATACTTAGGGGATTTAAAAATAAATAAATATCAACCACCAGCAAAAAAACCTTAATACACAGCAACAACCCCCTCCAAAAAAAAAAAAAATACAGGAAGCCTTACCAGCTTCAGCTCTCAGCTCATTTCACAAGCTTTGATTAATCATTTAACCTTCTATAGTGCCACCTTATTTAATACCTTGCCAAAAAGTGACCAGGCAGTTCTGGGATTCACCAGGAAGGGCCTGCTGTGCTCCAAATCAGCCTCCAGACTGAGCCATCAGACCCCTGAAGGACTGGTGACATGAAGAAACCCACCTGGGACATCCCGTGTGCTTGGTACCCAGCTAAACTAAGTATCTGCCAGCACACCCCATTCAGCTCCAGCAGCCTACACACTGGGAAGCTGGAGCAGGGCACTTGAAATACAAAATATGCAGCAGCAAAAAAATAACAGCATTCTCTACTAGGCTGAGCAGGCCCTCAAACTGATGGTTTACAGAATCCTCTGAATTTCTGCATATTTTTTGCAGCAGTCTTGGAACCTTTGCAGATTTTGAAGTTTGTCCATACGGGTGAGCAAGTGGATGCAGGTACTTGTAGACCAACGGGCAACTTCTACAGCTTGGATCCTTCCACCTGCTCTTCTGCAAACACCTTTTAACAGAAAGCAGGGAAAAGCAGCATCCCTCAGACACGTCCCTCCATCACCCCCCAAAAAACGGCATCTTAATGAGAAGGACAGTCTTAATAAATTCAGCTTCCAAGAGCAGGCCATTTGTTTCCCTAACAAATAACCTTTCTACTGGGTTTCAGCTTTTGACCTCACTACAGCAGCTCCTGTTGGCCACACAGACGGGCCTGTGAACACCAGATGGGATGGTGTGTTCTGCACTATTGGTTTCAGAGATGACACATCTTTTCACTTTAACTCCTCAGATGACACAAGGGATGCAAACAAACCCCTACAGCAAGAGAAGACCTCAGTTCACATCACAAGAGCTGCCCAGCAGCCCCCAGCATCACAACAGGACTCACACTGGGACATCTGTGCCTTCAGAGATGTGCCCCACACCAGGTTCAGGCTCTGAGCTTTCCCAAGGGCATTCTCACACTGGATTTCCCCCCTCCAAAGCCAACAAAGTCGGTTTGACCCAAAAGGAAACCAGCACACAGGAAAAAACACGGCTGCAGCAGCTCCCTCTCACAAACAGGTAGCGTTAAAGACTGTGTTTTGTGTTCTTGGATGAGCCAGCCAAGGAGCATTCATGGCCACCACCTCCAGCCCCACCATTCTCCTCGCTCCTCGGCAGCTGGACAGCAGAAAACTGTTTCATCAGGTCACACACGGGGACTTCCCATGAAAAACAAACACCAAATGTCTTCAAACTTGGCACGTGACAGCGTACATTTTCCTCCCCACAAACAAAGCACAAAGACAGCCTGTGTGTGGCTCCTGTCCAGCGACGGGGCTCCTTGTCTGGGTCTAAAAAGGCCACTAACGTGGCACAACAGCCCGTTTGCTGCCACACTCCACCCCAGAGCCACTGTGCCCCTGTCCCGCTCAGTTTGGCAAAGACTGTGTTAAACACGAGCGAGAGGAAAAGCAACCCCTAGCAATGACTCTGAGAGCTGCGCAGGCAAAGCGAAGGGCAGAACTTCTCTGCTGCACAACCAAAGTCCCGATGCCACACGCAACGAGGCATCTGCCCCCTTCACCCGCAGCCCCCGGGAAGCTCAGTGCTACGACGACAGCGTTCACCCAAACCAGGCTAATGCAAGGACCACTGAATATTTACTCTCGCCTGCCTGCAGCGGCTGAACAGGCCTCGGTTTCAGGTGTCTGACAACCCCTGGCCAGCCACAGCCGCACGTTTCACTCTGCAGAGGCACCAGCCCGGCTGTCCCCGCCGCTGGGTGAGCACAAGGTCACTGGCACAGCTCCGAATGTGAGATCACAACCTGAGCCCTGACACCAGCTCCACAACGAGCACGGACCGGTGTGCCAAGAGCACTGCAAACCCCTCACCCCGCTCAATGGGGGGAGGTCCAGCAGCACAGCCACACACGGATTCTGCCAGGGGGCCACGGGGCCAGACAACAAGCCCTAAAACTCAAGTTTACCCGCACAGATGTGATCTGCCTGCTCCAGTCTTCAGCAGAACAGAGAAATCACCTCTTTTCTCTAGACACACTGTCCCATTGGTGCGTCTCTGCAGTTCGGTTGCTACAAACTGTATCTGAAGAGTTTACTCTGTGATGCAGACATCTACAGTATGTTTACCTTAAAATTGTGTGCTATTATTTTAAAACTTGTGTACTGTAACAGTCTCAGCTTCTTACCTCAATGAAGCTTTTTACTTTACCAGCAGGGACACCCAGCCGTTGTCCCAAGAAAAGTCACAAGTTAACAGCCATCTGCAGCTGCAAATTTACTGAATGAGCCAGGAAATAAGAAAAAGGTTGTTTATCAACAGTAACTTCCTCCCTGAGCGCGCTGCCCGCACGGGGCACCCTTTCCTTCCCTCACACTGCAGTTCTGCTCCAATTACTAGCCCTAGACGTCCAAGAGCAAGCCCAGCTTGTGTCCCACTGCATTCCCCCCCCCCACGTACCTCCCCGAGGTCCTTCTAGCAAACAGAGAGGCCGCGCTTCTGAGGCTGGAAACAAGGTGGTGAGCGAACGCTGGCCTGCTACACCAGACTGAGCTAATTCTAGAAGATATTACCTCGGTGCCCTCCCCTCCCCACGTTCCCATCACCCCCCTTGCACTGGGGGATGCCCGATCCCAAATTCCTGGTTAGGAAGGCTGAACTGGCACAAAGCCAGAGCAGCACCCTAATAATGAGGATGGGTTTTTGCTGGTTTGACTCCCTGACCTACCCAGGAGCACCAGCAGAGAGGTGACAGGGACAGCGAGGAGGCAGCGTGGGGACAGAATCGCCACAGGAACTTCAGCCACGATGACCTCACGCTGCTATTTGGGGCAGTGACAAGCAGGTCCCACAGCCAAAACCCACAGCCCCAAGCCCCTTCCCCTGCAGTTCTGTGCCGACCCGTGACTACTGGGCCCGCTCCACCCCACAGCAAGCAAAGAACTGACTCTGCAGAAGAGCACAGAGATGCAAGACCCCGCTGGAGACAAAACAGAAGGTTTCTCCAGCTCGAGGGAAAGTTTCTGTCACCTTTCAGGAGTAGCAGAACAGGGTACCTCAGAGCTGCCACATTTCTTTACTCGGCTTTATAATAAACCCTACAAACTTCAGCCACGGGCAGCTGAGAAGCCAACACAAGCACACAGGCTGGGACAGGAATCAAAAGGCATTATTTCAGACCAAAAAACGCAGGGAAGCTTTTTGAAGATTGGAGTTGGACTTGGACCAGAATATTTTAACATTCCCGCTGAATACACAGATAGAAATATTTGCCAAAACTGTGGTTTGGGTGAGCGTTTGCTCATCTTTCCCTAGTCTGGGCTGCCCGTGCCACGAATCCAGGTGTGCAACCCAGGGTAACGCACAGCCTTCCGTTTTGATACTTTTCAGTGCAGCTTTTCTCAGTAAGTGTTTTAGCCTTTAAGTGGATTCTGGAAGAGATCAGTGGATCAACAGCAGCGCACACAGGCTGGAAAAGAGCTGGTCCCACTTCCACCCTACACTGGAGACTCCGCCACTTTTTTCAAAACAAACTGTTAAAACGAAAAGCGATACAGAAAACCATACACAGAGAAACCAGAGTGTCTGCCTGCAGAATATCATCTTATATTCTTAAAATAGTTCACTGCAGCACGTCTCCCCAAAGAAGAGCAACTATTTTGATGCCTTTCAAACTGAAAATACAAAGTTCAAATAAATTACTATTTATGAAAACAGTGCTTGCAAGTCTCTGCCGCAGATGCCTATTTACATTTGCTTCCCAGCCAGACTTTTCAAGTCTTGTTTTAACAGATACCCTTCTCAGAATGGTTAGGATAGAACCCGAACTCCTCCCCCTCCCCATTAGGTGGATTTGAATCCGCGCTGCAAACACAGATCTCGCAGGAGCATGGGCTGTACTTTCACAACTCAACGCTTCTGCTCAGCTCCTGCAGGTTACACTTGTTTTAGTTGTTAGCTTCCTCCCTCTCACACTTGTCCCACTACTCAACTTCCCTTTTCTGTTACCCACCCTCTAACGTGCCTGCCCTGCACAGAAACTACTGTAAGTGCCTCTTGAAAACACTACAGTAACAAAGACTGTCGAACTAGGAGAATAAAAATTCACAACTCACTACCCGACCTGACACAGTTCAGCACCTCCTACTGCAACAAGCTCTGCTGTGTGAAAGCCACAGATATACTCAGAATACTGCAAAAAAACCCACTGCACCTGTTTGCTAATATTATTTACACCCTCATTAATCACAGCGTTTTGCAAACACGAAGAGGTAATCCCTCCCCCACAAACCTTCCCATATAAATTTGTGCCCAGACACATTAAGCAACTGGAGAACAGGTCAAAAATAAATTTAAAAAGAGATCCAGACCCCCCCTATACGAGCGCACGGCGTGGGCCCGAAGCCTCCGGCAGAGCCAGGCCAGCGGCGGGCACAGCCCGGGCGGCACCTCGCCCCTTCCCACCCCGCCGCCTGCCCCTGCGGCCCCACAGGCCCGGCCCGTGCCCACCCCAAGCTCCCAGAGGGGCCGGGCACCGCGGGAGCGGCCGTTCCCCCCGCGGCAGGAGGGAGCCGACACCCCCCGGAGCGGCCCGGAGGCCTCTGACCCGCCCAGCGGCCTCCCCCGGCCTCCAGGCCCCACGTACCGTCCGGGCGGCCTCTGCCCAGGTCCTGCCCTTCTTCCTGCGGCCCTTCTCCCTCATGTCGGACGCGACGGGGCGCAGCTGACTCCGAGGTACCCTGGAAGGGGGTTCCGTCCGCCCGGGAGGGGAGGCGGGGGGAGCCGAGGGGGGGCCCTAAGCGCGGAGAGCCCCGACGGCGGCGGCCCCTGCACCCGCCGCCGCTGCCATATTGGGATCCTACTGTAAAGGGCCGCGGTCATGTGACCCCGCCCGCGTGACTCCACCTACTGTACGGGCGGCGGGGAGGGGCCGGCCCCGCCCACCCCCGGCCCGGCGCGTGCGCAGTCCCCGCCCCGCCGCGGCTGCCAAAGGGCGCGGTCCCGCCCCCCCCCTACTCCCGTCAGCCTGAGAGGAAAATGGCGGCCGGGGCTCCTCAGGGCGGCCGGGCCGTCCCCTTTCTCCTCACTCCCAGCCGTCACGGTGGCCCCGCCGCCACCAGCTCGCCCGCTGCCACCAACGGCTCCTTCAGCCCCAGTCACCCGCCCCGTGGCAGGCAGGGCTGCCCCCCTCACTGCCCGCAGCCGGCAGTCGCCGTGGGGTGGCCACCAGCCCCCGGTCACCCACTGCCACCTCCAGCCCTGTCTCGACCACCCTCCTCCTCACTCCAGCGTAAATTCCTCTCTCTGCATCTAAACCCTGCTCCAGGTGACCATTTGGAAGTTCCACAATGGTTTCTGAGCCAAACACAGTTTAATTTGCACCGTTGATGTAAGAACCCACTGATGCGAAGACTTTTATCAGCAGTTTCTGGGCAGGATTCTCCCATGGAATATACCCCCCCGTCAGCAGGAAGGAGGGGAGCAGGTGTGTAAAATACCTAATACTGCAGCTTTCCTCTCAATCGGACCCCTCACCCAGGCTGTCACACACTGCTCCTCAGTCACTGCAAAACCTTTCCCCAATGCCCTGATTATATCCATCCATTTTCCTTTCATCATTTCCTGATCCCAAATTGCTCTTCCCCATTGTGGGAAATAAGCTAAGTTTTGCTTCAGCTAATTGATGTATCATTGTTAGTGTGATAGTACTAACAAAGAAGCCTTAGTAATAGTAGAGTCTAATAAATTGTATCCAATTAATCCCCAGAAATGCCCTTGGTCTGTCAAAGGATCCTTGTTCACAGAGCGTTATCTAGGTGAAGAGAAACAAACTGGAACATGGCCTTCAACACAAAAACCCAAAGGGTAGGGGAGTATCAATAAGGCCAAAGAAACCAGTCTGGTAAATCTGCCAAGTAGATGATAGCAAAGACTCTGAATTAACGTGTAGCATAATCAACTAATCAAAGGCGTGTTTAGGATAATGATTTTGTAGAATAGGTGTATGTGTGCCTTATATGGGAAAAAGTACAAAATAAACCTGTAATAGGTCAAGCGGGAAGAATGTGAGCTCCAACTTCTCAGCCAACGAGAATGTTTGAGAAAGGAGACAGAAACTCAAGCGGCTGGGATAAAGGTATAAAATACCTGAAACCTAAAAGATCATTGTGCGTCTATTTTTGGTGCACCCAATTCAGCGCTGTTTCGTATTAAATTATTATTTTTTTAACCTTTGCTTCAGTGACTTTGTCCTCTTTAAATTCTAAGATGTGAGTCGGTGTTTCTCACACCGTGTAGGTCTTCACTGCCTCTTACTGTGTTAAAAATGAGGCCCCTTCTCTTCATTTTCAAAAGCTTTCACATCCCACCCAGCTTACCATCTACCACTGGCTATTTTCCCAAATCCACTGGGTTTGTAACGCCAGCCTCCGCTGCCCGCTTGGTTGATTTTCAAACCAGCGTATTCCTGTGCCGAAAAACGTCGCCTCGGTCTCCTATAGCTGTCCCTTGTCTCTTGTGCTTAGACAGTCACTGCCCCCCGCGCTCCTGCTGTATTTCGGAGGTCACAGGGCTCTACCACCCAGAGGAGGTCTGAATTCTGCAATGTGAGGAGCAAATTATATCATTTGAGACGGTGCATTTAAAAGCCAGCCCTTCATTCACGTTTCTTCCTAATATCTGACATAAAGCTGGTTTTAGAAGTAAAGCCGGTAGCTGTTACGAGGAGGTGAAGTTAAAAAAAAATAATCCAAACTCAAACCCCAAAAAGCCCCAAACAAGCCCCTGGTCAATGAGGGGAAGAGGGGACTTGCTGCCTGGGGAGTCTCGGTGCGTCACCGGGGCAGAAGAGCTCTCTGTGCTCCCCGGGGAGCCCCCGCAGCTGCACTGGGGACCTCCCGCTCTGCTGCCTGCACCGAAATCTCAGCTCACAGCTGGTACCAGGCGCTGTCGGTAGCAAAAACGGGTCTGTTTTTCAAATGCTTCCATCGAGGCTTGCACAAAGCTTCCTCGGAGACCCAGGGAAAATAATTTGCTCCACAGGCTTTCTTAACAGTGAAGACTTCCCTCTCGCTCTGCCTACGCAGAAGAGATTAACACGGGGTTTTATAGAAAAAACACAAGAGGGCTAGAGGAAGCAGTGCCTTGATTCAACTTGGATCTTGCTAGATAAAATTCGTTCTGGGGTGTCAGGAACCCAATATTCCTCAATCCTCTTTCAATTAATCATTTACCAAGCTCTCTGTGCAGCAGAAAGTCTAACAGCTGAGGTACAAATCACAGCTTATTGGGGATGTTTTGCAGCAAGCTGCTGGGTGGGAGCAGCTGCTCCCAGGGGTCATCCCTCAGATCTAATTTTATCTCTGGGAGCTGTGTCGGAGGAAGTGAAGCACAGTGCGTTGTAAGGGGATCGGTCCATCCCTGGTGGCTAAAGGAAGGACTCACCTCACTATAGATGAACCCAGCACCATCTCTTTTTGTGAAAATCGGAAGCAACGACTCACCTCGTTATAGATGAACCCAACACCATCTCTTTTTGTGAAAATCGGAAGCAAGCTTCTTACGAGCATTTTGCTTTAAGCTTTGATAATTAAGATTTATTAAACAGTCTGTTTAAATCCTATTTCTAAACTCAGATTCAAAGCAGGCAATGAGCTGGTTGCAGGTTGGTACTTCCAGCCAGGAAAAAGAACGTGCAGATGTCGAGTTGCTGAGCTAAAACAAGGCGCAGGTGGCCTTTCTCGGGGGGGAGGCTGTGGGGCTGCAGCTTCACAGCAATTATTTTAGGTTCTGAAAGTGATACAAAAACCAGGAACCCAAATCTTTGTGCAAATCAATGAGTGCAGCCTTGAGTGAAAATGAGAAATATGACATAGACACTTCACAATAGAGCGGTGTCTCCTCTTCCTGACTCTTGGTGTTCATTGGCAGGATCTCCAGGCTGTTGGAATGCAGACCCCTGCCCTGGGGCTGTGCAGAGCCAGCTCAGGTCCCACAGCACTTCTTTGGTCAGGCAAAACATCGTCCTCATGAAATCCAAGCAGGACTGTTGCAGAGACAGCTCAGAAATCCCCACATGCTCCTCAACCTTGTGTTAATACATCTGATATAAGTGTGAGCAGATGAACCACATCGGTTCAGTCCACGTCCTGCTTCTAGACTTGAGCTGACATTTACATTTTCTGGAAAATGAAATAGTAGGGAATATGGTGCAGTGGTAAACGAGCTAAACATTTAGGAGCCACTTTTGCTGCAGGAGAAGTAATAATTGTACTGCATATGGAGGTGTGGTGCTGAGGGACATGGGTTAGTGGTGGATGTGGAAGCATCAGGTTAATGGTTGGACTCCATGGTCTTAAAGGTCTTTTCCAACCTAAGTGGTTCTGATTCTACTTTGAATTTTTCACTATTCGTATCCTTACCTTCCATTACTTCTGATGGTGAAGAACTGATTGTGCTTCCCAGGCTCCATGAAAAATTTCTGGCAGCATTTTTCTGTTGGTAAGTGATGAGAGTGAGGAACGCCCGGGGAGGGGAGCCCTAGGAGGAGGGGGAAGGGTTGGACACTGCAAGAGGGGAGATGGAGCTGAGCTGTGGGGAAGAACTTGTTTGGTGGGAGGGTGGTGAGAGCCTGGCCCAGGTTGGCCCGAGAAGCTGTGGCTGCCCCATCCCTGGAGGGGTTCAAGGGCAGGTTGGAGGGGGCTTGGAGCAACCTGGTGTGGTGGGAGGTGTCCCTGCCCAGGGCAGGGGGTGGCACTGGGGGGGCTTTAAGGTCCCTTCCCACCCAAACCATTCTGTGATTCTGTGATCCTATGATTCTATGACTCTATGTATTCCTTTGCAGGGCTTTGCATCCTTTGGGCTGCTCAGGGTCACGATGGTGAGCACGTTACAGAGACTGGAATGGGAATCATCTCTGTGTTATGATTCAACAATACACTGCAATTGCTCTTTTCTGCTAACTGTCTTTTGTACTTGTGATTTCAGTCCACTGCTGTACCACTCTGCTAAATCAAAATCACATGGAACATCAAATATCTTCAAAGAAATAAATTTCGTATTAAACTTTAAATCCTCCAGGTGCAGAGTATCTGTAAATCCTGTTCAGAGAGTGTTGAGCTTGGACAGGCTGTAGGTGAAAAAGTTGGCTTGGGACTCCTTGTGAATAGTCATTGAACTGCCTGTAACCAGTAGATTCCTCATGAGGGACTTTACCTGATCTCCGCCAGTTTCACTCTGTTGACATAATTGCCCAAATATCACTCAGTAACCACATGTTCCTCCAGACAATCGCAGCTGCCTTTGCTGTGGAACAAGAGAGGCAGCAGAACGACTTTCTCTGTGCGTCCGCGATCCGAAATGACAGCGAAATGTGGCTGAACGTTGGGGTGTGGGTTCATTTCCACAGGAGCTCAGAGCGGCTGATCTCACCCCTCACACAAGCTGCCTCAGTGTCCTCGAGGTCGGGGTGGGGGGACAGGAGCAGCCGGGCTGGCGGTTCCGCTCACGCACCCGAGATGGCCGCACGCGATAGCAAACGTTTCCACAGCGCAGGAGCTCAGAGTGGCTGATCTCACCCCTCACACAAGCTGCCTCAGTGTCCTCGAGGTCGGGGTGGGGGGACAGGAGCAGCCGGGCTGGCGGTTCCGCTCACGCACCCGAGATGGCCGCACGCGATAGCAAACAATAACCTCACTTTGTTCCGTTTCCGCGAAAAGGATGCAAACTTCATTTCCCTTTCCTTGGGAAGTGATGTGCTAAGGACCAGGTGCGGCTTTCCACGCGCCTCGCAGGGGGATTGTTTCTCCCTTTGGAGGGGAAGCTGATGGGCTGCTTTTCTCCTCTGTTCCAATCTTAGCCGGAGGATGAGGCAGGGAGCAACATGACTCATGGGTTTGGTCTCTGGTGGTCTGACACCGTCGCTGCACCAGGATCTCCGCTGACTGGCTGCTCCTCTCTTCTCGTTGGTCTCGGCTCAGCCACGTCTTCACAGCTCACAGCAGGGCGCCCTGTGCTTTTCTGAGCAGGAAACCTTCCAGCAGACATCTAACCGAAGGGGCTGGATGTATTTCCTGATGGACATCCACCCCGGCAGCCTCCATTCCATTTATTCTACCTAACATTTTAAATTACTGCTGGGGCTGAAGTTCCCTGAGATCTTCACCAGTAATACAGCTGGGGGCTGTGTCTGCCCCCACACCCAGGAGGAACATTCATCTCTTTTTTCCGTGCTTACAAGTTTGATATTCCTTCAAAGGTTTCCCCTCGTTGCACACAAAATTCCTTGATGGTGTTTGAGCTTAGTCTCATTTCCTCAGCAGAGCTGTCACGCAAGCCTTTGGCTGCCCACTGCCTTCATCTTTCAATAAAAAGAGACTTTCTGGTGGCTGTCACCCCTGGCAAGCTGACGGGGATGATTAAAATCTGTAAGATTGACTCTGCTGCTGCTGCTGTTGTTTGGGGCAATATTACTGATAAAATTCAACCTGAGTTTTTATCCAAGGTTTGGTCTGAATCTCACCTTGTCAGAATATTGACTATTCTTTCCCCCCAAAATGCCTACACCTGGGTGTGATGTCTTCCCATGGATTATGTGGGTGTCCCTGTTCTGTAGCGTGGCCACCTCAGAGTCTGTCCACATGTTACCTGGGCCTAATACCATTCCTGAGGCCTCCAGGTGTGTTGCTGTTGTTGGAAGGATGGTCCTCTGAAACAGCTGATGCTCTGGTCCTGATGCTTTACCACTGAAAACCCAGATGCTCTCCTCCAGCTCTTTGGTGGGGTCTGCTTGCATTCATAGTGCGAGTTCAAATGGAGATGAGCGCTCACAGGAGAAAGAAAGTTGAATTCCTACTTCTTCCTTTCCTTTAATATTTCTCCTGAAGCTGAGGGGAAGAGGGAAAGTACAGACAAGTGTGGCATGGCGTGGGAATCCAGTGGCTGCTGTGTCCCCACCAACATTGCTCTTCAAGGATCTGTGTGTGATTGTGAGTGTACCCACAATGTGATCAAGCATGTAGGTGACACTTTTTAAGGCAGAACAGCTGCCAATAATTAATATATCCTTCTGCTGGCATAGAAGTTGGGACCGAGGGGACTCCTCCAGCTCTTTGGTGGGGTCTGCTTGCATTCATAGTGCGAGTTCAAATGGAGATGAGCGCTCACAGGAGAAAGAAAGTTGAATTCCTACTTCTTCCTTTCCTTTAATATTTCTCCTGAAGCTGAGGGGAAGAGGGAAAGTACAGACAAGTGTGGCATGGCGTGGGAATCCAGTGGCTGCTGTGTCCCCACCAACATTGCTCTTCAAGGATCTGTGTGTGATTGTGAGTGTACCCACAATGTGATCAAGCATGTAGGTGACACTTTTTAAGGCAGAACAGCTGCCAATAATTAATATATCCTTCTGCTGGCATAGAAGTTGGGACCGAGGGGACAAAGAACAAGTATATTTTTCCAGACAGAGTCTAAATCTGGGGACATTCATGGTGGAGGAGGTCTCAAGTCACCATCGTCCTGGTGGACAGATCACTTGGAACATCTGAAACCACCTGCTGTGTGGCAGGATTGCCGTGGACCATGCTAGGTCATGGAGAGGTCTAGGTCACTCCACTATCTAATTGCAAAACAAGAAATGTTAGCAAGGAGGAGTGCACAAGAACAGCATATGCCAAGGGATATCAGCAACGTGGCGCCCTTGCTTTTAGCCATTAAAGACTGAGCTAACAGCCTGAAGAAAAAGTGTCACTGGAGAAAAATGTAGGGAAAAAGAGTAGAAGAGCCATTGGGGAAAAAAAAAATGAATTTTTTGGGTCTTTGCACAGCTACAGTAGTACAGGGAAAAGTCCACAGGGTGTCATCACAGCATCAAGGAACAGCAAAAAAACCCAAAACCGACACCCAAAACCCAAACCAAACCCAAACCCCCTCTCTGGAATAAAGGCTTCCTGCACAGCTTTTGTCTTGGGAAGTCCATGCAACATATTTATAGTGGCTGTACTCATCTTCGTGCTGAAAGACTTTAAAATCTACTCAGCAGTGAAAACATTTTGCTTTTTTGCAACATTTTTTTCCCCATTTCCCGATGGCATGGGAAAAACGCAGCAGCACCCGGGAGGAGAGATGCGCAGGCTCTTCCCTGCTCTCTCTTCACTGCTTCAGCTCCCCAAAATCCTATTTGCATCAGTGGTTTTGCTTCTCTTGAATGTCTGTGCGTCCTCCCTTACTCTCCCCATGGGCTCTAACTGTCCCCAAGTCTCTTTACTTGGCTTTTTCCTCAGGTTCTTCACTCCTTCCTCTGCCACGTCCACCCTCCCCACGGCTGTGATCTGACCTCACTGGATCAATGCTGATCAACCCGGCATCAGTGTCATTAAGCTGGCAGGAATGAGATGAGTGTGTAAAATGAAAGCCTCCCCCAAATCAACTTACCAATTTTATATATCTCCTCCACATTCTTGGAGCTCATACAACAACTTTTATATATATAAATAGAGAAGCCATGCCTGGCAAACCCAGATTTTGCTGCCTAGACCTTGTTCTAGTGGAGCTTCCTTCAGATTACAGTTGTTTTAGTACAAACGCTCCCATCCTGTTGGGAAATACAGGGAGAAATCCCGGCGGGCACGCACCGGTGCCCCCGTTTGTGCAGCAGCAGGAGCCCAAATCCCAAATCCTGGTTCCTAATCCTGAGGTCCCCATGAGCAGGACACACAACGGGGACCTGCCCCGAGATGGATGCCCCGGTGGGTGCCGGGGCGGCGGCGGAAGGAGGCTGCGGACGCCCTTTGCAATGATGCTCATTCCTTTATTGGTGCCATCCCCAGGTTTTCCGGAGGGCGCTGGCGCTTCCTGGCCGTTCCCAGCGCTGGGACAAAGCTAGGGTACAGCAGATTGAGGTGTCCATCCAAAGCCAGAGGGAGTGGGAGATTAATGACCTCTCTCCATACAGTATGTATAATATATATATATTTATAATATGTCCTGTATATTCATATGTATAGAGTGACAAGGATGGGCCACCGTACAGTAAACTTTTGATTTCTAAATAAATCACCAGAGCAACAGGCACGAAAATTTGGTCCTAATCAAGGCCCTCACCTTGTGAATCAATCCCAGACAGACCCCAACCCACCCCCTGGCAAAAAACAAATATGCCCAAACCTGAAACCCAAAATAACAAACAATTAAACCACCAAAAAAATAAAAAAAAAAGGAAAAAAAAGAAAAAAGCCCCAGCCCAGCCCCGTTCCCCCCCCCCCCCCAGGATTTGCCCCCTGTACAGTCACTGACATTGACGGTAAATAGACCCCTTGGCTACACGCACGCACCCACACACACCTACACACACTCCTATGTAAATACACACGCACCGACACACGGAGACCAGAGAACATTACAAATGTACAGCCCAGGTGCTGCAGAGGCTGCGGGGCCGCCCCGGGCAGAGGGAACGCGTCGCCCCGACATCCCATCGCCCGGCGTCTGCTCCCAACCTTCCCCGGGGATTGTGCTAAGGAGGCTGGGAGGACACCAGCAGCAGTGGAGAGAGACACCGGACCCACGGGCAGGACAGATGTGATACCAGCAGCACTATGACATTGACAGCGGCTCAGCCTGTCCCCAGCACCAGGTGCTCGGATGCCCATCCTGTGCTCCATGTGGATGTGACCACAATCCTGCTGGAAGGGCTTCCACGTGGATCCCACCATGTCCACAGTCCTGCTGGACCTGGACCTGTCCCTTGCTGTGACACAGATGAGGACCAACGCGTGCCATGGGTGACTGGTGTGGAGCACATCCACCCTCCCACAAGATGCTCCATGGCCGGGGGCAAGAAGGGTGAAGGAGAAGACACCATCAGCTCCTGAGCTTTGTCTCCATGCCCTCGGCAGAGAACGGCGCTAAGAGAGACTCTGTCACCAGTTCACCACCTCAGGGCTCCACCAGCTGCTGATCCAGCTCAAGATGAACTTGGGGCAATTAGAAAATAAGGAAGGTAGGAAAACCTACTCCTGCAGGTCACCCTGCAGGCAGCTCCTCCCCTTCCCGAGGTCTGTGCCTCCTGGCCCCAACCCACAGACCTATCCTGAAGATGAAATAAAGAACCAGGTTTCTCACCCACCAGGTTTCATGGGGCCAGACAGCTTGTCCCAGGGGATGTGCATGGACACATCAACCACCAACCCCCTGGCTCCTGGTGGTGCCTGTGGACAGAAGGAGCTCACCCCAGGCCACGGAAGGGACCCCTCTTTCACTCCTCACACCCTTCCTCCTGCATCCTCCTCCCCAGCTAAGCACAAACCAGACCTGGCCACTGCTGAAAGGGAGTGAGCTCAGTCCTGGCAGCAACCTACAGCTTCCAAAGTCACCTCCAAGCCAGCTGCTGGAGTTGGGGGAAAGACAAAGATTTCAGAGGGGCAGGTGTTATGAGCCAAAAGTGGGGAAGGGAAGATGGTGGCAGAGGGCAATGATCAAGAACATGAGGCAGGACAATGTTACAGGGGATGGGGAGAAGAGCCCCCCACAGCAGAGCAGGGGATGTGTCAGGAGACGGGTGGGAAGGTCTGTGGACCCCCCAGCTCACCCACAGGGAGCATTTTGATGGGACGCTCCCGTTGGGTGGAACTTGCACTGCTCTGAAGCAGACACAGCTGATGTTTCTCCTCCTGATGTTTAGGATCACAGGATGGTTTGGGTGGGAAGGGACCTTAAAGCCCCCCCAGTGCCACCCCCTGCCCTGGGCAGGGACACCTCCCACCACACCAGGTTGCTCCAAGCCCCCTCCAACCTGCCCTTGAACCCCTCCAGGGGTGGGGCAGCCACAGCTTCTCTGGCCAACCTGGGCCAGTGATGTCCATGTTTGTGCCTCAGCCCCTCTGCCTCCCTCAGCCTGGGTCCTCCCGGCAGGAGTCATCGGGGGGAGCAGTGACCAGTCCTCCAGTGGAAGAAACTCCCTTCGTTGCCACAAGACACTTGTCCCTACCTGCAACCTCAGCTCTGCCTTCCCAGGGACTGGCCTCAGCACCCATCCCTTTGAAGACCCCTATCCTTCCATGTGAACCTGGGGGTCACTCTCTCATTCATTAAGATCGGATCTCCTCCACCTCCGCACATCTGGAAGCCATCCCAGGGAAGCCACAGCTGCTGGCCTGGCACTGCCAGGGATGGTCCTCAACAAGGACCCTCAGTGGAACTGCTGAAAGCTGAATGGCCCAGGAACCCCGAGCGATGTCCTGGCACCTACGTGTGCTGCTGCCTGGGACAGGTTTCAGATCTCCAGAGTGGCATCATGGCTTGTCCCCCCTCATCCATTACCCGTTTCACATCCATCCCTCCATGACCCATGCAACCACCAGTAAAGTTCTCCCAACTACGAGGTGACCTCCACATGGTGTTACCCAGCCTGGAGGAGAGCGATGGTGACAACCCTCCTCCAGCCATCACCATCTCGTCCTGCATTTCTTCATTGCTGTCGGTGGCCAGGATGGTGGACGCTCTCACCTCTGGTTTCATTTAGGTAGCATTGCTCCCCAGACAAGGGTGGGTGGAAGAGCATGGAGATTTCCATCTTCTGTTCTTGCTGGAAGGAGTTAAACACCCACTTAGTCAGGTTGGTGTCACCCAACGGAACAGGACAGGGCACCTCCAGAGCACAGCACAGGTGGACAAAGCCCCGTCACCACCGGGACCAACGTGGTTTGGTTCATCTGCAAAGCCCTCGCTGTGGATGGGGCCGGCGTTCCTGGAGTGACAGCCATGCCCAGAAGTCAGTGAGATGTCACTGCTGCCACCAGCGTTGATGCAGGATGGAGAGTCCCTCAGGGCCTGTGACAAGCCCAGCGCAAGGTGCTGCCACCACCAAGTCTCCAAATCCTGGCAGAAACGGCCACATTCCCTGGGATCCAGCAAAGCAAAGGCAGCACCAGAGTCCGGGGCTGCTTCTCCTCCTGCCAAAGCCACCAGAGAGGGGCACATGGCCTCTCCTGCCCACTCTGCGGAGCCCGACGGTGGGCAGTTCACTGGTGGTGCCCACCTGGGTGGTGTCCCCGTGTCCCAGCCCCACGTGGGGGTGGCGTGGGGGTGGCGTGGGGCGGGCTGGGGGCTGCGCTCGGCGTGGTGCCCGCTGCCAGCCCCGGGCGGTCTCCTCCAGTCCCAAGGCGCCTCCTGACTCCGCGCATCAACCACTCCATAAATAAATACCTTAAATAAATAAAGTGACAGATCCAGATGGGGGAGGAGGTGGGGGAGGGGAGGGCAGAAGGAAGGAGGAGGAGGGGGGGGCTCCCCTGTCCCCCCGGGGGGGCTGTTCGTGAGCGTCTGACACAAACACACGCGCACACAAAGTAGCTGAAGACAAAGACTGGGCCCGGTGGAGATGCTGCCGGCTGGAGCCCCCGTCCTCGCCGGTCGGGGGGGGGCACAGTCCTCGCTGCGAGGCGGTGGCGGGGGGGACACGAGGGGGAGGTCCAGGACGTCACTCCTGAGCTGGCATCGTGGCGGCGCGCGGGGAGCTGGAGGTGAGGGAGACATGCGTGGTTGAGGATGGCAGTGACCGCGGCGTCTGGCACCTGGAGAGGGGGGGACAGAGAAAACCTGGTTTCCTTCTCCTTCCCCTTCGCCTGCCCCCCTGCTTTCCCCAAAATCCAGCCATTTCCCAGTTATTGGTGACACAGGAAGCACCAAAGGGCTGGGCAGGACAACACCTTGTGTCCTGTCATCTGGGATATATGGATATCATTGAATCACAGGATGGTTTGGGTGGGAAGGGACCTTTAAAGGCCATCCCAACCCCTGCCCTGGGCAGGGACACCTCCCACCACACCAGGTTGCTCCAAGCCCCCTCCAACCTGCCCTTGAACCCCTCCAGGGATGGGGCAGCCACAGCTTCTCGGGGCAACCTGGGCCAGGCTCTCCCCACCCTCCCACCAAACAAGTTCTTCCCCACAGCTCAGCTCCATCTCCCCTCTTGCAGGGTCCAACCCTTCCCCCTCCTCCTAGGGCTCCCCTCTCTCCTCCAGAGTCCCTCCCCAGCTTTCCTGGAGCCCCCCTTCTTGAGGGACTGGCAGGGGCTCCAAGGTCTCCCCGGAGCCTTCTCTTCTCCAGGCTGCCCCCCCCAACATTCTCAGCCCCCGCTCCCAGCAGAGGGGCTCCAGCCCTCCCAGCATCTCCGTGGCCTCCTCTGGCCCCGCTCCAACAGCTCCATGTCTCTCCTGAGCTGAGGTGTACATGATGATATATGACATCATCACCCTATTTTTAATACTTATCCAACAACCAAAGCAATGTCAGCCGTATTTAACAATCTGATCATACCCTGACAACCCATGGCCAGTTTCAACCCCAAAAAGAACGGAGAAGGCACTTGCAGCTCTGCCATGACTCCTCCGCCTGCCCCAAGCCCACACCCTGCCCCACACGGAGCATCCCGGCCACCAGCACTCACCAGGAGCGGGACTTCCTCACGCGGGAGGCCGCCGGCCTCTCCAGGATGCTGTCCAGGTGCATCAGCCTCTCCATGTGAAGAGCCCGTGGGTCCTGCTCTGCCGGGTCCCTGCTCCGCTCAAACTCGAAGATGGCTGGAGGGGAGAGGTCCAGCTCCAGGAACATGATATTCTCAGCCTGCAACCAGGGAGGGTAAAGAGAAAGCCAACATGGGGAGTCACCACACGGCAAAACACAGCAACAGCTCCAGCAAGTCCACGCTGCCAAGGAAGCCGAGGGGCACAGTGGGGAGCAGAACCCTCCTCTGGCTGTCTCAGCCACAGGGTGAGCTCCAAACTAGAGCCCAGGCTCCTGGGTCTGCCCAGGCTCTTCTGGTCTTTCCTGGGGCTGAGCCCAGCAGGTGAGGCTGAATGGCCCTGTCCTCTCAAACGGCAGGAGCCACCAGAGCCAGTGAGGCAGCAGCTCAAGGACCCACTGAGCACACGGCCACCATCTTCCAGTGGGAGGATGAAGCTGGGACCTTGAACTGATGTATTCCAAATCATCATGAGCTTGTTTACTCCATCTTCTCTCCCACTGTTCATCCATCCATCTGTCCACCCATTCTTCCACCCATTCTTCCATCCATCCATCCATCCATTCATCCATCTGTCCATCCTTTCTTCCTTCCTTCCTTCCTTCCTTCCTTCCTTCCTTCCTTCACTGATGTATTCCAAATCATCATGAGCTTGTTTACTCCATCTTCTCTCCCACTGTTCATCCATCCATCTGTCCACCCATTCTTCCACCCATTCTTCCATCCATCCATCCATCCATTCATCCATCTGTCCATCCTTTCTTCCTTCCTTCCTTCCTTCCTTCCTTCCTTCCTTCCTTCCTTCCTTCCTTCCTTCCATTCATCCATCCATCCATCCACTCATCCATCCTTCCACTCATCCCATCCATCCATCCACCCACCCCATTTCACTAGCAACTTGTCCCCCAGCACACACCAGTGCCCTCTCACGTACCCGGTACCGAGGGTGAGACCCCATGGCCATGGCCACCCGGGCGTACTGGCTGATGGGTCTCTTGTACCCCACCGCAGAGGTCGGCCGCCTCTTCATTTGGTTGCTGTTTCTAAAAACACAAATTGAGAGAAATATTTATTAGAGAACATAAATTCCTGATAAAAATGCATCCAAGCAGTGATGAATGGAGCTCCTCTACAGGGGGTGAAGGGTGGCCCTTCCCAGTGGGGCTTGGCTTGGAGAGGATTTCCACCTGTAGGCACCTGCAAGCATCCTGGGGTCCCCGTTGTCCCCCCCCAGCCCTGGGGACATCCCATGCCCACGGGTCAGCAGCACTGGCACAGAGTGTGGGTCGGGGCCGGGGACGTACCCTCCGGTGGGCACCAGCGGCTGGAACTTCCACTGGTCCTCGTCACCATCGAAGTACAGGCGGTTCATGATCTTGTTCTTCTCCTCTGGTGGGATGAAGTTCTCGATGATCAAGTACCTGAGCGAGTGAGGGACCAAGAGAGGGACAGAGCGGGAGCAGGGGGATGGGAAGGAGCAGGAGAGGAAAGAGTTAACGTGACAAGTGACAGAAAAGAGGTGGGAAGGGGAGAGGAAAGGGATGTCAGGAAGACACAGGGAAATGGGAAATCATCCAGGAGATGGAAACAGGATGGAATGGAGAGGTGGAAGCCACAGATCCAGCCGATGGAGAGGCAGGAGAGGGAGGGCAGAGGAAGGTGGGCATCAGAGAGGAGTGAAGGCATCTCCCAGGGCTTCCCTCCAGGCAGGAACCCGGCTCCTCTTGGACCTGTCTGCTCCCCCAGTTGCCCCACTGGGAAATACACCACAGCTCAATGGTGCAAAATGGACCCCAAAGGGACTCTTTTTTTCCACCTTTTTGGGGGCAAATTGAGCAGCTGCAGAAAATTGTTCCGAGTGGATGTTTCACTGAGGTACCCACAGCTTTTACAGAGACTGAATCCTGTTCGAAGGGGAAGGCAGCAACATTTGAGATAAAATTTTGTTTCTATCAAAAGCATAAATGTTTTCCCTTGAAAATGCTGAAAAATGTCTATGTCTGGGTGGGGTTTTTTAAAGATACTGAGTAAGATTATTGCTTGCTGTGACAACAAACCCAACAAGGGGGTGGGTCAGCAGCTGCGGGAGGGTCCTGCAGGGACAACGCTGCTTGGCTTTGCCCCCCCAGAGCTGCTCTGCCCCCCCCGACCACGCTCACTGTCGTTTCTGCTGGGTATTTTGGGGGGTTTCACCTTTCTCAGCAACTTTTTAATACTCTCCTGTGCAGCTCCCCCAGCTCAAGGGGTTCAATGGTGTTTCACACCTTCTGCCACCACTGACAGGGCAGGAGGTGCCCAGTTTTCCCCATCAGTGGGTGTATCGAGGCCCCCAGCTGAGCACTCCAGATCTGCTCTGAGCACCCCAAATCTTCTCTGAGCACCCCAGCTCTGCTCCGAGCACCCCAAATCATCTCTGAGCACCCCAGCTCTGCTCTGAGCACCCCAAATCTCCTCTGCAGGGTCTGCAGAGGGGTCCAGTTCTGCTCTAAGTGCCCCAGTTCAGCCCTGCACACCCCAGTTTGGCCCTGTAGACCCACCTCAGCTGCTCCCAGGTGTAGGGGGGACATGCATGACCACCTACTTGAGCTTCAGCTCCCGTGTCTGCTCGTTCTGCGCCTCCTCCAGGTCCTGGCGCACGCGGATGTACTCGTCGTGCTGGTCCTGGATCTCCGCCTTCACGGCCTGCAGCTTGGCGTACAGCTGGGGGACAGCAGCAGCCCCTCAGCCCCACGGCTTGGGGGGCTGTGGGGAGCCGGGGGGATGGTCCTTCCCACCGCCCTCCCGCCACCCACCACGCTCTCACCTTCTTCAGCTTCTTGGTTTTGATCTCCACCTCCTGCTGCAGGGAGGTGTACGTCTCCCGCAGCTCCATGGTCTCCTCGTCCCGCAGCAGCATCTCCTGCTGCATCTCCCGCTCCCGGCGTTTCTGCAGTGGGGGGGGAAATGCTCAGAGCTGGGAGGGGGATCCAGCCCCCCCGGGGCACCCCTGTTGCCCCCCTAAACCATTACCTGCTCAGCTATCTCCTGCCGCTTCAGCTCCAGCATCTTCTGCTGCTCGTTGGTGTGGTCCACGATGGTCCTGCCACCGATGAGCAGCTTGCTCTCCATCGCCTGGGGGGGCAGAGCAGAGGAGGGGGGGGTCAGGGCACTCCCCCATGGGCTTTGCTCCTGGCCATCCTCACTGGGTGGTCACCCTGTCCCTGGTCCCCATCCTGGGCTCCCTGTCCCCACCCCAGGCTTCAGGGCGGTGGGGGCTTTCGTTCCCCAGCAGATGGGGAGGGGGCTGCACATGGGCCCCGAGCAGCTAGGGGGTGGTTCAGCATCCTCCCATCCCACCCTGAACCATCCCACCCCACCCTCTCACCCTCACCCCCCATCCCACCCCATCCTGTCACCCTCACCCACACACCCCATCCCACCCCACCCTGTCACCCTCACCCACACACCC